ACTTTTTTCATTTCTAATGGAACGTAGAATAGTAACTTTCCTTCGACCTTCCTATAGACAACTTCGTTTCTCATCTCAAAGAATTTATTTTCAGTTCTCTGTAATTTTTTTTTTAATCTCTACTATTTTTTCGTCAATGTTTTGTGTAATTATTAAATTTGTCTCAAAGGAATTGTCTTCGATTACTGCGATAAAACTATATCTACTGACACTATTAACGTGTCACATACGTGCAGCTGGCCTATGTTTCCGTTCTGTAGTTGTAGTTTTGTAGCTTTAATACCCAACGTGAAATTCGCGCATTAATTTCGTTTTCTCTTAACGCGAGAGCTAATGAGTTACAATCGGTAACTATTTTGAACTTCAATCCGTAGAGGTAGGCACGAAATGTTCTCAAAGTATAAATGATTGCAACCATCTCTAACTCAAAGCTGTGATATTGCCTTTCATAATTCGAAGTTCGTTTAGGGAAATAGAAAACCGGATTCAATTTGCGGTCATCTCCCTTTTGTAGTAGAATAGCTCCAAACACAGTGAAGTTCCGTTTCTGCATGTGGGTTAAAAATTGAAAGTATTGGGGCACTTTCCTATGTAAACGCCCTTAATTCGTTCTCTCCAAATTTAAATTCATTCTGTTTTCTTAGCAAATCTTACAAGGGCTGTCCTATTATTGAGAATGATTCTATAAACTTTCTGAAGTACGATACTCAGCCTAAAAATCTTTGTACTCCTTTTTTGCCTTTAGGGATTGGAGAATTCTCTACGGTGTTAACATTCCGATCTGTTTAATGCCATTCTCAGAGATCATGTACCCTAAATGACGAATTTCTGTCAGTTGGAAATGACATTTTGTAATTTGTAACTCCAAGTTACTCTCCGCTAATATCTTAAAAAGCCTACACAGAACTGTTAGATGATGTTCAATGGCTTTGTTGCCACCAAGACGTTGTCTATGTAAACCACGACATCTCCGGAGTCAATTAATTCTTTCAAAACTTCATTAACAGACCTTTGGAATCGTTTAGGCGCTACTTTTAATCCGAAAGGCATCCTCAAATACTCGAATTGTCCAAACTGGGCTACGAAGGATGTATACTTGATGGATTCCTCCTTCATTTTTACATGATAGAAACCATCCTTTAAATCGAGAGAGCTGAAGTATTTTTTACCTATCAAAACACTAATTTGATCATCAATGAACGGTATAGGATAATTGTCTGATTCTAGATACTTATTCAACATTATGCAGCCAATACACATGCGCGTCTTACCGTTTTTCTTCGTATTCAACTTACAATTAAAGCGACGTTTCCTAACCGTATCAGTTACTTTCGCTGATTCCCGCGATTCTACTTTCTTCTCACGGCCATTGAAGTCAGGCTTGGTATTTTCATATTCGTTTGAGGTGTCGTTACTCTTGTTATTTAAACCGGCTGATTTTTTTATTCACAGTAATTTTCTCGAACGCGCGAAGTAGCTCTTTTTTTTTTATCTCAAAACACTGCATTCTGGCTTGGTCACGTAGTCTATCTTCTGGGATGCCTTCTATCAGATGGTCAACTAGTTCTGATTCTTCGACACTTGCTTTGTTAGCTAGTATTACTTTGTTGTAAGTGTATTCGCTGAGTAGTTCGTTTCTCCCCCAAACTCCGTCCTCGAATTGTTTACGTAATCTATGCTTGCTAGTTTGCGGAAAAAACATTCTTTTTATTTTGCGCACCAACTTATCAATTAGCATATTTAGATCCGACCGTGAATGAAATCAAGTGAGTCCCTTACCTTTAAGCCTACTACTAACAATGATTAGCATTACCTCGTCGCTTAATATATATGCGTTTTGTATTAGCGACAATTGTTGTGCCCAGCTTTCAAAGTTCCCGCCGCTGCCGTCAAATGTTCCTAATAGCTCTCCAATTGTATTTATTGAAATCCATTGCATTTCCACGTTGCTCCTAAGCTGCATATTGTTGGATTGCACAAGAAAAGTTGAAACTTGCTGCGCCCCTTCTTGATGCTGACCTCGTGTCGACCGCGGCGTGGCTGCGCTCTCACTCTGTGATGGTGTCGTCATGTTCCCTTCCAACCTTAGCGTCAATGCTGCTATCATTTCTTGTAAGGCTTGTAGCCAGGGATGCCAGAATGCAGGATTTCTCCTCTTCCCGAGCTGTTCCCCACTACTTTTTTTTGCTCCCATTTACGTTACCCATGATCATGCGCCTTGCACAAAGAACGTTGAGGCTCGATGGCAGGGGTAGGTTTGCTTTTGGCGCGAAGACACAACGCCAAATAGCCAAGTCAAGCACAAAGCAAAAAGCAAGCGAAGCGTCCATCACATTCTTTGAAAGTTCCGAAGTGCGATTTGAAATTCTTATTGTTTTGTGTTATACATATGGATGATAATATACAGTTAAAATCATTTATGAAACCCTTTGCGGATGCAGAATAATTAGAAATTGAGAATTGTGCATCGTGCTGCATGATTCGCGCATCGCACAATTCACCGACAGTAGACAACGCGGACACGTGACCCGGCAGGCCGGTCAGTGTTGGGATGCGGGCCGGGTTTTCTCGCGCATGCGCGGCTTTTTCAGCATCGGTAACGTACAATTTTCGATAAAATGTCGCTCCGCCATCGCCCTGCATAATTTTGCGGAAATGATTACAAATTGAACATCAATTTTACCGACAACAGTCTCCGTCTCGGACTTCTCCCGTTAATATTACCGGCAACAGTCTTCGTCTCGGTCTTTTCCCGCCAATATTACTTCCAGGAGTCCGAGAATCCCTTGGGTTCCAATATGTGCGTGCCAACATACGTTATCGAAAATGCCGCGCATGCGCGAGAAAACCCGGCCCGTATTTCAACACTGAGGACGATAGGCGCATGTCCAGTAGTAAACGTAAGTGGGGAGAGCACACTGAGCATACAGTAGTAGGGAGAGCTCGGGAAGAGGAGAAATCCTACATTCTGGCATCCCTGCTTGTAGCTATTGCTTAATACTGCCCAGCTCGTGTTCATGACTTGGCCTAGATGATGCCGCTGGTGCCGTGTGTCGCTCTTCTCCAACCAAGCCTTCGTAAGAATCCCGTCCGGATTCAGCTGCTCCAATCTCAGCAGAAGTTCGGCTTTGTTTCCAACGCTGCTTACACCTTTGTCGCGCAATATTTCTCTCAATTCTGATACCGTCAACTCAGTTACCATTTCATCCATTAACGAAGTACAAAGCAATTCCTATCACAGTATCACAAAAATTCAGATCTCTCGTCAGGCCGGTATTTTGTTTCTATATATAGTAAAATCGAATTAGTTCAGAATCAAACCCCATTTCTGAATTTTGTAAGATGAAGAACTTCGGACTTCGAACTTAACAACATTTATTCACGTCCTTTTACAAAGAGCTGCTGCTGGCGACTGTTCGACTGTTCCTTCTTTCTTAGCGACGCAATTATTTATAATTAATATTATATAATATATAATTAATTTTTTATATTAATTAATTAGTTATAAACACGTTATTTGTTATAAACTCGTGGTAACGACCTAAGCGATCGATACGTGCTATCGATACATATTATCAATATGTGTATGATCAGCTTACATAATAGAATCTAATTGATTGGTTAAATATGTTTAATGATAAATCTTCATAACAGTGTTCCCGTAACATAGCGTACCTAACCCATTCTATTACCCCACCATATTGTACGACGTTACGTTGAAATTTGATTCAGTGAACAATTAATAAACGTTCAACCTCAGTACTAATCTTGTAAAGAATATAAGACCGCGAAGTACGAGAAACTAGCTTGCATCATCTTGAATGAAAATTTTTTAGAAGAATGGATTCCACTGATTTAGTACTAATTTCGTGTGTACTTGATTTACTTACCTTTGCGAATGTTTGGCTATACGCGATTATTAAAGTTTTGAATTGGAACTTATATGGTTTCATATATCTCTGCATTGGAATTAGCAACAATTTTTGAGATTTTATTGGAGCCATGTACCAATGTCCACAGTAGCTAAACGTTTGAATCAAAGAGAAAATAAATAAATTTTTATCAAATATACACGCATATATAGTGATAAACGTCATGACCTTACATTTTGATGAACATGTCGCTACTGCTGTCATGTACTTTTTGTGGCATCAGTAGAATGAGATATATGAC